CGTCTTTAACAATTTTCTCCTTATAGACGCAACAGATAGAAGTAAGATTAGTAGCGATCAAAAGCGCTTTTTTATCGCATTAAGCCTATACCCCCTTTCATTTTTCGCGAACACTCCCTTTAAAATGAGTTTTAATTTTTAAGGACAAGAAATATAGTTTTCTCAGATTGTTAGGAAAATGAATGAATGTGGCTTAAAACATGAAAGAAGAATAATTAAAACTTTTTTCTTTCAATCTTTGATTTTTTTCCAGGTAGTGAAACTAGTAGGAGTGGACTAGTCATGATATTTGAGATGCTACAATATTCAACACTTAACAGGTTATAGTACTTTTTATTTCCAACTTAGGATTTTAAATTGATTTTATAATATTCCAAGGAGGCTGGTTATTGTATTGTTGGAAGGGGTCCTTAGCCAACTTTTTCCATCCCATCAATTTAAGGTAAGTTTTATTAATTATTTGTATATCCCATCCCATCAATTTAAGGTAAATTATATCAATTAATGGTATATCCCATCCCATCAATTTAAGGTAAATTTTATTAATTATTGGTATATCCCATCCCATCAATTTATGGTAAATTATATCAATTATTGGTATATCCCATCCCATCAATTTAAGGTAAATTATATCAATTAATGGTATATCCCATCCCATCAATTTAAGGTAAATTATATCAATTAATGGTATATCCCATCCCATCAATTTAAGGTAAATTATATCAATTAATGGTATATCCCATCCCATCAATTTAAGGTAAATTATATCAATTAATGGTATATCCCATCCCACCAATTTTAGGAAAATTATATCAATTAATGGTATATCCCATCCCACCAATTTAAGGTAAATTATATCAATTAATGGTATGTCCCATCCCACCAATTTTAGGAAAATTATATCAATTAATGGTATATCCCATCCCATCAATTTAAGGTAAATTATATCAATTAATGGTATATCCCATCCCACCAATTCAAAGAATCTTTCGTCAATTTTTATTTGAAAACAAATCTAAATTAAGTATTCGGAAATTTGTAAAAACAATATATATATATATATATCTTGATTTTTAAACGGTTTTCTAACAATTTTTTTATAGCCGTTTTTAAGAAATTTGTTTTGAAAGATTTTGAAACAATTTGTTTAATATGATCACCAATATCAGGTCTTACCTAATTTAAAAGCAACATAATATTTTTTGTGTGTATGACCGTATTTTGTACTGAACTTCCAATTCAAGTTAAAGTCTAAATGGCTGTAAAGTAAAAGGTTACCAAAAATTAGATTTAAAGGGACAGTAAAGGAAAAATGAAAGGGGGTATAGGCTGAAAGCTAATCACTTTAGCTCTTGATCTCGACCCATGAAAGTCATATCTGATGTTCCTGTCTCGAGAAATTGATATAAAACTGTGTCAAATCTATACGAAAATTAATATATATACAATTTTGTATAAAAGTAGTGAGTTTAAACAGATCATATTCAGCAAATAAGCAACCAATCTGAAAACGATGATATCCCAGAGAAAGCTAATTGTAATTTAGGTTTACTTTTATATTTGTTGTTTCTATTTTCAATAGATTTCATTCATAATATTATTTTTACGTCCGTATTACTTGACCAGAAATTCCACCAATGGCAGTGCAGTAAAGTGGTCACGTGATACAGGCGGAGACACGTGACCAGTATACTGCTCTGCCATTGGTGATAGTTCTGGTCACGTGATTTAAGTTTCAGATTTTCAAAATTTTACATATATGAATTTTCGTATAATTTTAACACAGTTTTATATCAATTTCTCGAGATAGGAACATCAGATAAAACTTTCATGGGTCGCGATCAAGAGCTAAAGTGATTAGCTTTCAGCCTATACCCCCTTTCATTTTTCCGTTACTTTCCCTTTAATTCTTAAAACTTTAAATATTTCTCGTCCTAATATATTGTTACATGTACAATTTACATTGTACAATATTCAATTCAAAATTTAAATTTTATGAAATATTTAATTAAACTAATTTTAGGATATGTTTGAGAAATTACACTCCAGGTAACTTAAACTCATTATTACTAAGATGAGAAGTAAAATGTACATGTTAATGGAAGGTTTAATTTGTCAAATAATTTATTTAACCTCAACATAAAACATATCAAATTATTGTAAATAAAAAGCTAAGTATAGAATATTTTTCTTGTGATTGGGGAACAAGACAGATATTTTGTTTTTACTTGAGCTCCAAGTATAAAATGTCTTACGGTCTGATCATATTGGTCAATTTGTTTTTGAACATCTGTTTTCCGGGATAAAAATATATTTCTCGACTAATGTCTAAGGTAAAGGTGAGGTTTCAATAATGGTGTAAAATAGTAAATTAATCCACAAAATCCAGTTTATAATAACTAAATAAATAATAAATATAGATCTGGAAGGACCAGGGATGACTTCAAGAATTCTCAACGATCAGCCTCAGATCTCAGACATAGAAGAGAAAAATCCAAATAAACAATAATATATTGACTTAAAATTTATATCTAGTATTAATTTTATAAGTGATATCTAGTATGGATTATAGTTTTCTTGTAAACAATAAGCTACTTGTGCATTTTCAGTTTTTGTAAATAAAACTCTTTTGATAAAACAATGTGTTGAATTAGAAAGATGTTACATTTTTTAGGGTAAGTTTTTATCAATTTAAGTAGTAACTAGTAGCCACCATCAACTCGGAAATATATATGAATATATATTTTTGATTGTTAAAGCTGCAGGCCAAATTGGGGAATCAACGTGTACCCCATGAGTAACTAAGGCAAAAAATTTAAATTTTTGAAATTACACAACTAAAATCTAATAAAATAATACTTGGGCAACGCCAAGCACTCTAGCTAGTATAAATATAAATATAATATGACAAAAATATCAAACATGTGCCTAGCGGTTCCAAGTTTTTTTTATTTGAAACGTAAGTTATTTAGGAACCTCGATTAGAAAAATTAACTAAGGAAGGGTATGGGTAGGTAGTTACAGGGCTTATTTAATTTCTAATAGATCCCGTTGTGATCATATTCTAAAGGGATAATTTAATAAAGGGATCAAGCAATCATTGCAAGTTTAAGAGTTGGAACAGTGGATTATTCGATATAGCTCTGTAGGATAGTCGTCATTTCAAATTAAAGTTAAGACCTTCGGGTATATACATAGTACTCAGAGTAGAGAGTACATTTTTATCTGATTTCTTTAAGCTTTTGAGAATTACTAGGCTTCAGAAGTAGGAAGAAATTAAAAATAAGAAAGATTATTGGATTTCAAAAGAAAAGTCAAGATTCTAGGATTTCAGAGGATAAAGGATAGACCAGGGGAACCAGGGAGTAAGGAATAGAAGGGAGATACAACTGGCGTGGTTCGCCCTTCTGTATGATTATACATCGAAGATAGTATATATAAAGATATGCAGGCAGGTAGAAACCTCCTTCCTAAATTGCTTGTAGCAGCCAACTAATTTTTGAACCTCTGAGAAAAGGTGCAAGGAGAGACATCTATAGCAAATTGATTACTTTCTATATTCCTTTCTCCCCTTGCTGCCATCTGTAGGAAATACGGATTTGTATTATATAAACATACAGTACGCGTATTGCATCCTGTATAGTTCAAGTGTTGCTATCTGGACCTGTTTGACCAATAAAATTAAATTTCAAGGTAACACAAACATACAGTACGCGTTTTGTTTATGTTATGATCAGTTGTACTTAGTAAAGATATAGTAGACAAACAGAAATATTGACAAACCTTTGGAAATAATTTTATATTTGTTAAATAAGTGATATCTATTTAATCAAACGGTTTTTATGAGATATTTAAATAAAATTAGATTTTTTAATTGGTACCACAATATGCAATTAAGATGTTGGGGTTGATGGTTTTAAGAATTATTAAAATTTCTGTTTTTTATACATGAATTCTAGTAAACAAGGCAAATAAATTGCAACATTTTTTTGGGAGGACTTTGTCCTAGATTCGATGTACTTTTTAGTCATAATTTTTATTTAAATTGCGTTAATTTACGTATGCCATTCAGTACAACTTGCACATTTAAACTTTGTCTAGTCAAATTCCAACCTCAGTTTTATTTGCATTGATTAATTTGTTTCATTAAGTACAATATGCAGTATACATTGTTGATACTATAGTACGCATTTAGTGTTATCACGCATAAACAAAGTGATAAATTAGCAACAATCCAGAGGATAAAATGCCATGCGTACGACAGAGATGGAGCTGTTTGCACCTTTTCTCAAGACCTCAAAATTTATACCTGCTTGCATATCTATATATATATTATCTTTGTTATACATGCTTTGCAGATGGTACTTCATTTGAATATGAAACATTTGTCTGATGTAAAATTACCGCGTATACAATAACCTTTTCTGAATATTTCATAAACAAATGAGTATCCGACTGCAAAGCATGTATAATCATATAGTAGGGTGAACCGCGTCAGTTATATCTCCCTTCTATTCCTTACTCCCTGGGATAGACTCCAGAATTTCAAAAGGAAAGGGTTTAGGGTTTCAGAGGAAAAGGATAGGTCAATGAGTTTCTGAAGGAAAGGATAGGTTTCAGGGTTCAAGAAGGAAAAGTTAAATTATTGGGGCTTAGAAGAAAAACAAAGGTTTCAGATGTAAAGGATAGATTACAGGGTTTCACTTTCAGAGGAGAAAAATTTGATTCAGATCCTAGTTCATCATTCAGATTTAGTTTAGAATTCAGATCCTAGTTCATCATTCAGATTTTAGTTTAGAATTCAGATCCTAGTTCATCATTCAGATCCTAATTCATCTTTCAGATCCTAGTTTAGAATTCAGATCCTAGTTCATAATTTAGATTCTAGTTAACGATTCAGATCCTAGTTCCAAATTCATATCCTAGTTTATAGTTCAGATTTAGTTTTTGATTCAGATCCTATTTCATGATTCTGATCCTATTTCATGATTCTGATCCTATTTCATGACTCAGATTCTTGTTCATGATTCAGATACTAGTTCATGATTCAGATCTTAGTTAATTACTCAGATTCTTGTTCATGATTCAGAATTTAGTTTATGATTCAGATCTTAGTTCATGACTCAGATTCTAGTTTATAATTCAGATTCTAGGTCAGGATTCACATCCTAGTTCATGACTCAGATTTTTGTTCATGCCCTGCAAACATGTTCTCTCCGATAAACCAATGGCGAACATATAAAGTCCATAATTATTTACCCGCCAACTTCGCCATCGGCACATAAAGTCGGTAAAAATGTTTCCTGGGTGATTAAGAATTAGGTTTATGATTAAGATTCTAGTTCAGGATTCAAATCTTAGTTTATGATTCAGATCCTAGTTAATAACTTAGATTCAAGTTCAGGATTCATATTCTAGGTTATGATTCAAATTCTTGTTCATGATTCAGAACCTAGTGCATGATTCAGATTCTATTTCAGGATTCAGGTCATGATTCAGATCTTAGTTCAGGATTTAGATCATAGTTAATGTCACAGATTCTTGTTAATGATTCTGCATTTAGTTTTTGATTTAGTTCAGATTTTTGTCAATGATTCAGATTCTAGATAATGATTAATATACTAATTAATGATTAATATACTAGTTCATGATTCAGATTTTAGTCCAGGATTCATTTTCTAGTGCAGTATTTAGATCATAGTTAATGTCTCAGATTCTTGTTCATGATTCTGAATTTAGATTTTGATTCAGTTCCCAGTTCATGATTCATATCCTAGTTCATGATTCAGTTCCTTGTTCGTGATTCAGTTCAGAGTTCAGGATTAAGTTTTTAGTTCAGGATTCAGAACCTAGTTTTGGATTCAGATCTTTCTCAATATAACATATTCTTGTTCATGATTCAGATCCTAGTTTATGATTCAGATCCTAGTTTATGATTCAGATCCTAGTTTATGATTCAGTTCCTAGTTTATGATTCAGGTCCTAGTTTATGATTCAGATCCTAGTTTATGATTCAGATCCTAGTTTATGATTCAGTTCCTAGTTTATGATTCAGATCCTAGTTTATGATTCAGATCCTAGTTTATGATTCAGATCCTAGTTTATGATTCAGTTCCTAGTTTATGATTCAGATCCTAGTTAATGATTCAGATCTTAGTTAATGATTCAGATCCTAGTTTATGATTCAGATCTTAGTTAATGATTCAGATACTATTTCTGATTAGTGATTATATTTTGCTTTTGCAGATAGTTAATTGGTCAACCCAATTTATAAAAAATCCTGAACCATTCTGGTTATTTAAGAGAACTAAGATTTAAATCCTTACTCAGTAATTGAAAAAAATAAAGAGTTATTTTAATTTTACCTGTCTTACTTTTCAGAGAACACAGAACTTACAGAATACTCTACAAGTAATATAATCCTAACTATTTAAATTTTAAATAAATATTTCTACTTTTACAACTTTTTTTATTAAAAATTTATGGTTTACATAACATTTATCACAAGGTTTCAGATTGGTGATTCCAAATTTTAAATTCAACTTTTTTTTTAGTCTTAGGCATTGTAACATATAACATTCCAACAATGACAAGGTCCAAGAATTCATATAGATTCTAATTGTATGGGAATTCAGAAATTCCCATTAAATATATATTTTTGATAACAATGGTCCATTAACATGAAGACAAAGGGTAAATAACAAATGTAAACATAGAAATTTCTTGACTTTTTTTCTAAAAACTTGACGAGATCTGTTTGAATTGTTTGAAACTCACATTTTAAAACAATATGGTAAAGTTTTATATACAAAAGAAAGAATTTTTTGGAGAAAGCAACAAATTTTGGAGATCAACTGGCAAGTTTTTAACCCTTATTTATACTTTTGTTCAAAAATTAATTTATTTTTCCTAATTAAGTAACAACAAATTAAAATGCTCCTAAATGAGGGGGGGGATAAGGATATTTTTCTTTCCTATCTGAAAAAGAAAGAAGAAATAGTTCCCTCTCATTTTATTATTTGACGCATTTTAGACGTTCTAATACTTTCTTAAAATATGGCTATGGGTTTAATTTTTTGAATCAGTTCAATGTTTACATATTTATAGTAATAAATTATTACACTTTTAACAACAATTTTTTTTCTAAACTCGGTACATAGATAGTTGGGCTTTTAAACAACGTTGTATAACAACAACTTTTAGAATTTACATAACATTTAACATTTACAATCATTTTAGTTTAGTGCCAGTAAATGATTCAAACTTCTTTGAACCTATAAAATAATAAAGCTGGTTTGAGATATGTATACTTTTTAACACATACCCCCCCCTACATTTATTTCTGTATACGCCCTTGTTCAACATGATGCGTTTGTAAACAATCCGTTTTTTACATTGTTCACAATTGTTCTAAACATGGTTGTGCTAAATATTGTTCTACCGAGCAAACCAATCGGACGTACTACCAGAGATTTCTACTTTATATTTCATGGAAACATTTAATAATTTGTTGTGCAGTATAATTAAGAAATTTCAAATCTTTTTGGATTTACATTTTTGGTTCAGAATAAATTACGGATAGATTTTAAATTCAATAGATATTATAGTGAACAGCACACACTGCTTTCTTTTATAATTTTAACATACATTTTTACAATTGGTTTAGAATATGAGAATATCAGATTATAAACCTGGATAAGGAAACTAGAAAATTCAACAGTTTACAACAGTTTATACTTACAGGGTGTTCCAATAAACATGGAAGTTGAATGACGGTTTCGATATCAAAGTAAAACAAGAAAATTACAGTATACAAACAGAGTAAACTTGTCCATCTTCACTGTTCATCTTGCAGAAACATTATAGACACATCTGTACAGCCATTTACAGTTTTCATAAAATAAACTCTAGCAGATATAATAATATTTTGACTTTTGACATCAGATATTACAATGCTATAACAAAGACGATATCGAATTCGTCACTGAATTCCCATGTTTATTGGGACACCCTGTACCATTGAACATAGAAGGGAACACTATTTAGAGTACTAACTGTTACATTATCTGTGAACTAGTCTTTCATTTTTTGAAATATGCTTGATTATACTGGGTGTATTGAATAATCATCGGCGCCAGTTTTGTTTAAAAAACAACCAGCAATATTTATAATTATCAGCAAGGTATGTTGTAAAATCAGCAAGGTATGTTGTAAAATCAGCAAGGTTTATTGTTGTAAAATCAGCAAGGTTTATTGTAAAATCAGCAAGGTATGTAGTAAAATCAGCAAGGTATATAGTAAAATCAGCAAGGTCTGTGGTAAAATCAGCATGGTAAAATCAGCAAGGTTTATTGTAAAATCAGCAAGGTATATTGAAAAATCAGCAAGGTATATTGTAAAATCAACAAGATATATTGAAAAATCAGCAAGGTATATTGTAAAATCAGCAAGGTATATTGAAAACTAGCAAGGTATATTGAAAAATCAGCAAGGTATATTGTAAAATCAGCAAGGTATATTGAAAAATCAGCAAGGTATATTGTAAAATCAGTAAGGTATATTGTAAAATCAGGAAGGTATATTGAAAAATCAGCAAGGTAAATTGTAAAATCAGCAAGGTATGTAGTAAAACCAGCAAGGTATATTGTAAAATCAGCAAGGTATATTGTAAAATCAGCAAGGTATATTGAAAAATCAGCCGGTCATATTGTCAACTTAGTCGAGTAATATTGTACATTTTTAATCTGTGTTTTTACCAACAAAATATATTTTTATAATTTATTTATATAATATTTTTATATTATAATTATTCAAGGAGTCCCGGACTTTGAAATCTTATGTATCTCTGAAATGAGAGAGGGTATAAATCATTCATAATTACATTATGAATCGGCTAGTTCTATTGTTTTTATTTCGAAATTTGGTTGATAATTGGAAATTCTTTTTTAACCCGTCTATTTTGTTTGTTCTTTTTATTATTTTACCCGTGAATCAAAGTTTAAAACTGCATGGTGCGTAGAACAAAGACGAGTTTAAGGTCTTCACTTAATGTAATATGTGTTGGTAACTCTCTGTATGATAAACATTGAAAAAGAAATTTGTTTAAATATTTGCACACTTGAACTTTCAATATTTTCTTAGGATTTAAACCTTCAAATACATTCAATATTTTTAGCGGAAATCATTTATGCATGTTTTACAAATATTACCAACTGTATTGTTTAAGATGGCTGTTAGATTTCTCTTTTTGTTTTTCAGGTATCTTCCTTTTTTTTGTTGGATAAAATGTTTTTCCAGAATTAGATTTATCACTTTAATCCACTTCCTTCAACAAAAGGTTTTTGTTTAAATTATCTTCACAATCACGATCACAATTCACAATGTAGATATTTCATCGTAAAACGCTTGGAAGCGTTTTTATTGGTAAGTTTTGTAAGGTGCCGCAAGCATATCATTTTAACAATATCTGTAACCCTTGCTCAAAGCAGTATTGATAAACTGGGTTTCATCATTTTTTGAGAATATCAGTGTGAATTATGCAGAAATTTTAGATGTTTAATGATTTCTCCCCTGAGCATTTAAATATTTTTTTACATAAAAAGTTAATGAATTTTATGAATCAAGACACAATGGTTTCTATCCAGTGATAAAAATTGATTTCAAATAACTAGCGTTTATCAATTTTAGATCAAATTGATATAATCACCATAGTTCTGGTATATTTATAATTGGATTCTCTTCATCCTGTGTCACTTAAAGTTCACCAGATTGATTCATGCTCAATATCCATTATTGAATAACAACAGTCTGATATGAAAATCATTATGTTGAATGTCTACATGAACATAATAAACACTAAAGACAGGGTGGTGCAAATAAATTACTGTTTTTACGAAGAAGTGAGGAAACTATTTAAAACATATACTTCCAAACACCCATGAATTCCATTGTCCTACAAATTCAAAAAGCTTTTGAAATTTTAACAATAACAAGAACAACAACAATTATTTCAGTCAATAATCCGATTTCTTTCATTTCAGTTTTCAGTTCTGTATTTTCATTTATCTCCTTTTATAACAGCTTTTTTTAATTACTTCTTTATCAGTTCTCTATCATCAGTTCTCCATCATCAGTTCTCTATCATCAGTTCTCTGTCATCAGTTCTCTGTCATCAGTTCTCTGTCATCAGTTCTCTATCATCAGTTGTCAATCATCAGTTCTATACTATCAGTTCTCTACTATCAGTTCTCTATCATCAGTTGTCAATCATCAGTTCTCTATCATCAGTTATCTATCATTAGTTCTCTATCATCAATTCTCGGATAGAAGGTTCTCCGCAAAGCGAGAGAACTATAAGCCTTTCCTATAACCTGAAATAAAATCTTAGTTATTCTTCATTTTTGTTTGTTTTCGATTCATTCAGATTTCTGAGACGTTTCAAGTCAAGATCCGCGTTAATAAAGTTTTTAGAACAAATCCTAATTGGTGTCGACGTAATTATAAGTAACTCTCAATCCAAAAAGTGTCCTATCCAAATCCTGACGGTACCCTCCATGTTGTGTAGGTAATAATGTTAATTGTTGTGATTCGTCCGAAACACGAAAAAGATAAAACTTCCAAAATTCTTAATTATATTCGGTTAAGTTTTGTTTTATTATGATTTTCAATATTTTTATTCTAAAAATGTGTAAACGAACAAAAACTATTGTTTTACCATTTTTTTTGCTCTCAGGGTCAAAAAATGTTTAAAGGGTCAAAACTTGGCAAAGTGTAAGAAAAGAAAATATTATGAATAAAAATTTGGAAAACAATTGCTTTTTTAATTTATGCGAAATTTTGACCCTATAATAGAAAATATATGCAGAAAACTAAGCTTAACGATTAACAAAACTACCCTTCGTCGTTATATGAGTAAAAAAAGAACGATATCGTTATGTTTTCTTTCTGAAAAGAAATATATTTTTCAATTTATTTCCTTGTTGATGCAGCATAATAACTTTTCTAGAGAAAAGGAAACAAGGAGATCTTCATCAATGAGACTACGATTTAAATGGTACCGTTGTAAATTGGGCATATAATTGTTAATTAGATAGTTACTTGCAATCCCTTTAGATTAAACAGTCAACAACAAAGGATAGGTAAAATTATAGCACCATGATTTGTTATTCCTTTTTTCCTACTCGGGCTAAACAAATTGATGTCTGCCTCCTTTTTTACGTTCTGTATTTTTTGCCGGTATTGTTTATTAGGCCGGTACTGTATATTTGGCCGGTGCTGTATATTGAGCCGGTACTGAATATTTGGCCGGTACTGTATTTTGGGCCAGTATTGTATATTGGGCCGGAACAATTTAATTTTATCTGAGTTGAAAGTGAGCTGGAGTAAATCGAATTTTTAAGATAATCTTGAGGATTTTCTTAAAGAAGATAAATGTTGAGGTTGAAACTTGAGACTAAATGTTCTTTTAGAGAAGAAGGGAATTAGATCAAATATTAAAAAATAGTTTAAAAAGAAATAAGATAGATTTATATGCTTAAAGATACAGGGTGTCCCAATAAACATGGAAACTTGAAAAATATCTTCGATTTCCGATGGTTGTTGAATGACATAGATTAATAATATCAATGCAACACTGTGCTTCCCAAAATGTGGTCTACCTTCATTGTATCTTTAGATAATAATCCCGCAAGAAACAAAGACGATACATAAGCCGTTACTTAATTCCCATGTTTATTTGGACTCTTTGGACACCCTGTAGCTTTCACTCAAAATCAAAATTATTAAACGATTATGTAAGCTGTTTTCTTTCTTTGCCAAATCATTAAAAAGGCCATAAAACGATATAAAAGTCGCCTTTACAGTCTTGTCTTTTATGCAAATTTCCCACCTTTTTGCAATCTAGCATGAATCATATTTTTAATAAAATGGAAAGTACTTAAACCTCTCATTGTGCTGGAGTCCATTGAAGACGACGTAATTCTCGCTGTTGTCCTCCTCGTGAATGATGTTGTTCCTGTAACTGACTGTTGGAACAAACCCTGTTGATCGTTTCACATCCTAGATTGAAACATTAAAATTATTAATTTATAAATTAGAACATTCATAATTAAATAAAAAATAGGTATATGTATATCTCTTATGTAAATTTTAAACATATTAAAACTATATCTCTTAAACTTTTACATTAAAAAAAAAAAATCTAAGTATGTTAGTCTGAAAACTTGAAAAACTATCTATAGTGTGGATCTAATATCTGCAGTCCACATGTTTGATTTTTTAATTAAACTGTTTATTTTATTGTCTGGGCGGAAAAAGTTAAAAACTGATTTAATTTAGCATGGTTGGTTTGTTGAAGTTTATTTATCCAAATAAGAAATCTTTTAGGCCTTGCGCTCTTGACAACCGTTTCTAGCCATGAAAATACATATTTAATTTTTATAATTTAGAACAGTTCGGTCCTTGTTCTAGCAACCTGTGACATCTGATCACAAATTGACAGAAACACCACATGGTTATGTCCAGATAATAAGGTTGGTTACTCTCGATGCGCTCCAATGTTCGAAAAATGTCGTCTCCTAAAATAAATAGCTAAAACCTCATATAACGTCACTTGTTATAGAGGCGAGAGTGACGTCATATAAGGTTTTTATTTATCTATCTTAGGAGACGACATTTTATGTACATCAAAGCGCATCGAGAGTAACCAACCTTATTATACAACCGTGATTTAGGGTGGAAGGGAAAACATTTTGTTTTGAAAAGCGCTTAGCTTCAAGCGACTTAAAATTGAACTATGTAAGTTTTTTATCGTTGATATATTGGAAATCAGCCTACATATTATTAATTAATTTAGCGCCTATACTTAAACCGTTGATTTCTTAACTGAATCATGATGAACAAAAACGTTTTTGTGTCGACTATTTCCGATAACTATAAGGATACAGGAACAAGTTTTCATGTACATTTAAATATGTGACATTGGATGACTAGACAAAAATCGCAATACGATTTTCTAACCTTTGTTATACAAAAATATAGAAAAATAAAAATATCGCAAATTTTAAAAACAGAAAAATTGTCTTTTAAGTTGTATAACCTTTAACTAACCTGGATAGGGGTAAAGTCTGAAAATGTTGTCATATTGTTTTCAATCTTGTTTCTACGTCCTCGGTAGAATGTTTCCCCAGTTCTCATCCTAGAATAAATAATATAATAATAATGATAATAATAATAATAATAATTGTGAAGCAAAATCGAGAGAATTTAATCCTATTATATCAAGGTTATAATGAAAGTAAAGATAATTGCAGTTGTGTATACTCTAACTACATATTGAAACCAGTTCTCTCTGGGCGGAATTTGTAAACAAGAATTGATGCATAAGTCTTCGTTTAGTAACAGAGGAGGATAAAAGCATTAAATTTTGATAATTTTGATAATTCACATAATAGTTTCCTATGACCAGAATATTTTATTGATTTTTTATGTAAAAGATGGATCCCATGTCAGGGCTTTAACATCCCGCCTGTGTTTACATTAGCGCCCAGAGACAGTAAACTGCAGTACAAAAGATGCGAACACCTATGAAATAACTTTCCTTGTATTATATAAACCTGTGATGTATGAATGTACGTCCTCAAACGCTAGATCTAGGCATTTATTTATCTGTTTTTAAACTATTTAATAGTTTTAGGCTTTCAGGACACTCCGCAAAAAAATCTGATAAGTTTAATATATTTCAAAACTATACTATCTAAAGTTTCCTCTTGCCACACTATGCAACAGTTCGACTCTGTCAGGAGATATAAGCCTGAACGGTATCTGCCTGAACGGTATCGAAAACACACTTTTTTAAGGCTTTAAGAAGCCAAAAATGCTGAAATAATATCTTTTAAAACAAACAATAACGACTCTCTACTCTAGTGCATAATTATCATTAATACATCCTACACGAGGGATATGTGAAAAAATAGTATTTTTGTGGATGTAAACGCAAAATATGTTTTATTAGATACCAAAATGCGTGAATGGAGACAGAATGGCAGAGACGCAGTGAGTAGCACTGACTACGGAGACAGTTTCGCGGGGCTTGAAGGTCGTCTTGCGTATAAGGAGGCTTTGGGGTCATTTAACGGGGCTCATGGCGGCCCGCAGCCCCTCCCTCCCTACACTTTTTTATTCGTTTATCCTGTTTTTCAACAAAGAATGTTGAGAAATGTTGTCAAATAACATTAGGGACACATATAGGTTTTCCTTTAGGTCTAATATTATAAAATTCTAAAATTTAGAATCTGGATCCCTGGATAATGCTACGCAATAAAAGAAAGTTCAAATTTAGAATGTTGGCATGCATTAAATTAACCTAAAATTTCGGCAGCTCAAGTAATTTGATTAAATTTCTGGTTTTCATTTAAAATTATTATTCTGGATTCATGGTTTGTATTACATTTTCAATATTTTTATAAAGTTTCAATAACATTTGACTTGACTCTATCTAAATAAAACAATACTACTGTTTATTGTCTCATTCTTAATTCTGCAAGCTAGCCGTTGCTTCCTATTTTATGACACAATTTGCTTTCTCCAATTTAAACTTTCGGTACTGTCCTATCTGGAAATTAGGATAAAAGAAAAAATGAGGGCAACAAACAGATTTAGATTTTAAACTTATATTTCATAGTAGAATACAGCAGAATATAGTAGAATACAGAAGAATACAGTAGAATACAGAAGAATACGATATAATACAGTAGAATACAGTAGAATACAGTAGAATACAGTAGAATACAGTAGAATACAGTAGAATACAGTAGAATAAATTGTAATAAGATGTAGAATACACATTGTTAAGAAAACTATTAGGACTGATAAGTGGTATTTAAAGTAGGATACTATGTTTATCTATCTAGACAATATTACTTACAGGGTAGGTTCGTTCTCCTGACAGGTTCGGCAACAGAAACATTTTCCAAACCGAACTCGAGCCTCCTTCTTGAACTTATCCTAAACAATATTTTAATTCAATTCTGTTAGGATTTTTCCAAACGGTTCATTGAAAATCTAAAAAGTAAAACAGAAGTCATAACTTCCTCTTCCAATATCCCTTGATGATTGCACCCTGCAAGGACAACTTTAATAGAGGGTTCAGGCATCTATCCTCAAATTCAAAAGTTTCCACATTGGATATCAAGACAAAACGTTTAAGATTAGCAAAAGTTTCCACATTGGATATCAAGATAAAACATTTAAGATTAGCAAAAGTTTCCACATTGGATATCAAGATAAAACGTTTGAGATTACCAAAAGTTCCAATTTCTGGTTGGATTAAAATATGATTTTGTGTATCTTTATTTGTTTACAGTTTAAATTCAAGAACTGTAATGCTTGACAACATGCACGTACAGTATGCATTCCGCCGTACTAACCAGCCAGGCTAACATAATTTTAGTATTGCCCGGGGTTGCCATTTTGTCAATTTGGTTCAGCCGTTTGGCCAGCCATAGCGAACATATAAATGAGCAAAGAGTATTATTATTACATATCTTTATTGTGAGTTTAATTTTTAAAAAACTGGTTGTCAAATGTCAAATACTAATCAATCAGAAATCAATCAATTGAAAGATTTAAGTGATTGCCGTGACAGATTAAAGGTTTAATCCCTGCTGAACAAAACTTTTCAATTAAGAGTTTATTTCAACACAAAACAAATAATTTAAACGAAAATCAATTTCAATCCCAAGTTTAAACATTGAGTTAATATTTAGAGCTGTAGAAACGAAATTAAGAGGAAATCCAACCTTTGTTTACAAATAAAGTGTACTGCAGTTTTCGGGAAAACAAAGTTCGTTGTGTGCAGTTATGCGTTTGTTTACATTCCTAAAAGAAACTGGAGTACACTTTGTTTGTAAACAAAGCTATGAGGGTTCCTCTCAAATCCCTTTTTTTGAGCAATATTTTTTTCATGATTAAAAAAAGTTTTATTTATACCCTGTTTTCTGTACAATTAGATTAGATTAAGGAGGGGGGGGGGGGTGTTCAAAGAAAATCAAATAAAATCTTTAAATTATTCATAATTCAGTAAATTATTCATAATTTAGCTTATTTCTGATTTATGTTTATTTGATTATTATTTGACAAAATATCTCAAGATTAAATGACAATTTCCTTAATATTAGTAAATTAAAATTGAAAGCTAAAAAATGGATAAAATTAATATTTTGGCAAGCATACAATAGAACTAATTTTTTTGCTGACACATCAATTTTCTCATTGTTAAATGTTAATTCTAGTTTATTTTGAAATTTTTAATATTCTAAAATGACATGCAACACATGAAAATAATGTCAGATAAAACTGGAAATTACAAATGAATTAAAATCAAGCCTTTAATAGTAAACTGACTATAAAGTTCGGACCAACGAGAAATCATTTAAACTTTACTGGTCAGCTTTTGGTAACATCTTTTCAAGTTTGATCAATTAGAAATCAGTCAATTTGAAGAGAATCCGAGTTTAAATCATTCCCCCCAATTTAAAAGTTTCCAGCTGTTACGCGAGCTACGCTGCGTTCATGAAGTCTATGTGATACCCCTGTGATTCTCTGAGTTCCCCCTGACGGTCTGTACAGAACGTATTGTGAA